CAGACACTAGTATGGCAATTTGTAAATCAATGGATGTGTAACTGATGTGAATCTGCAATCTGTGTATGGGGTGAAGGTGGGAGTTCATAACCCACTTGAATCAAAGTGTGGAATATGATATGTCAAGAAATTTGTAATGTTTTGAACAACCCACAATAAAAAAAAACAAAAACAAACAAACAAAAAAAAAAAAAAACAGGGTAGCCACTTCGCATCTTTTGCCTGAGTTTAAACTATGCAATCTTTTGATCAAAAGAGTGTGTAGTGAGCTTTGAATCAGCTAAGGAATCTCCATAATTTAAATGTATAATTATTTTAGGCTCTGATCATCCTAATGAGGGCCATCTAATGGGCAAGTGGATACATAAACCTGGCAGCACACTTCTTTCATTTTATTTTTTTGTTTTGGTTTTTATGGGACTGGGAATTGAATCCAGGGTCTTGTTCATGATAGCCAAGCAGTCTACCGCTGAGCTATAGCCCTACCCTTCTATTTTCATTGTACCAACAATTCTCAAAGCGTGGGTTGTAGAAGGGATCTGCTAGTTCAAAACTATTTGCCTAATAACACTATCATTGTTATCATTCACACTATCATTCACAATTTTCTGGAAAGGGTAAGATCCTCCCTCTCCAACTGTCTAGATAGCTATGTGAGTTTAGATTTTATTCACATACTTCAGTCAAAACACTATATTATACTGGATGCGGTGATGCATGCTTTGTAATTCCAGTTAATCAGGTTGCTGAGGCAGGAGGATCACAAGTTTGAGGCCAGTCTGCGCGATTTAATGAGAACCTATTTCAATAAAAAAGGGCTGGGGATGCAGCTCAGTGATGAAGTGACCCTGAGTTCAGTCCCCAGTACCACAAAACAAAACAAAAATACCATATTGCAACACATTGAAAGTAGAAGTTCTGAGGATCTAGGTATCTTCTATTAAGTCAAGAGATTTGTAAAAACATAAAAAAGGTCATTTTTCTATTATAAAAGATTATTCTTAGGGGCTGGGGACGTGGCTCAAGCGGTAGCGCGCTCGCCTGGCATGCGTGCGGCCCGGGTTCAATCCTCAGCACCACATACAAACAAAGATGTTGTGTCCGCCGATAACTAAAAAATAAATATTAAAAAATTCTCTCTCTCTTTAAAAAAAGATTATTCTTACATATAATGAGTTTATTGCTTATTAGTAAATAAAATTTAGAATTTCAATAGTATCAATACTATCAAAGTAAATGTAGGGTTAGAAACAAAGAACAAGACACACTCTACCCTTAGGGATCTCAATTTTGAGAGAGACTAACAGTATACTACTCACCTCAGTACCTTGAAAAAATGCTATATTGGCAATTTGAAGAAATATTTGAGAATAAGAAATAGAAGGTAGTATTTGCTTGATAGTGTCAGGAAGAGTTCACAATGTGGGACAGATTTGACTATTCTTTAATAGTCATTAAAGAATAGCCTATAAAGTATTCTTTTTGACTATTCTTTATTTGACTATTCTTTGTTATATTCTTTAATGAAGCCTTAGTTCTACAATTGGTTGAATCCCAAATACCAACTTCTGAATTAGCAAGGGAATTCAGAATATTTTCCTCTGGAAGTTAGGTTATTTAAAAAAAATGTTTTCAAACATTTGTTTCAAAACTCATTAATGAACAGATAAATAAGTGGGTTTCAACCAGTTTTTTGAAATGAAATAAAATAGAAAAAAATTAATTTCATTGAACTATTTAAATGTCTCATTTTTTAAAAGGTGGAAGATTTTTTTCTAAAATGAGCATTTAGTACTATAAATATCCCTCAAAGAACAGTTGTTCTTAGAAATGCTGATGTACTTTCTAATTTCCTGTATTGTCTTTTTTTGATGACTTATCTTTTCCCATGCAAGATGTGATTTTTGTGATATTTCATATACCTAGTGATTTTGCACTTTGTCCTGAGCATTTTAAATATTCTAAGACTGATTCTTGTGTAAATGTCATGTAAAATGTTGATACTTTTTCTTCTTGCAAGTACTTTTGTTAGGTAAGGTAAAGGTTGCAGGTCCTTCTGCAGACTATGTTCCAAACTAGATAACACTTTTCATGTGGGCATATCCAGTTTGGGACCTGAACAGAAATCTGTTAGTACAGTTCTCAAAGTCTTTGTTATGCTAATTAGAATTAGATCAATAATGTGCAGGTCACGGGTGAGTTCAATTTTATGAGGTTACTTGCTTGGTCCCCTCACTTTCTTCTGTCTTTCCAGTACTTTTGATTCCCTGGAGTTCCCCATTTAAGTCCTCTGGCTACAATCCTACTTTCATTTGCACTGTCAAGAACCTGCTCACATCCACAATTGTCTCCAGCAATGGGAAAATGGGGGATGGGGAGAATGGCACCCGAGTTTGTCTCTGCTCTTTTGGAGTCACACTTTCTCTGAATGGAAGGGAAGACTTCCTCAGAGTTTTGAGTCATAGCATTTTGTTTTCATTCTTTTGCTGCTGCCACTGCTTTTTTTTTTTCTTTTAGTATTTTTTTAAGTTATAGATGGGCACAATATCTTTATTTTTATTTTTATGTGGTGCTGAGGATCGAATCCAGGGCCTCACACGTACAAGGCAAATGCTCTACCACTGAGCTACAACCCCAGCCCCTGCTTTTTGTGACCAGAGTTACTGGGGGCTTCCATGCAAGGAAATAAAGAAAAAAGGAGAGAGGGAGGAGGAGAGAGAAATGATGTGTACTTTTATCCTGGAAATAAAATAGAAAGATAATCAAAATGACAACAGTTTTATTTCAATGGTTAAGAAAAGCATATGTAAACTAGGGATGTAGCTCAGTGGTACTCAGTGTTTCAGAGATTCCATTTTTTTGCTCCATAAGCCAGGACCAGAGAGTTCCCATGTTTTGAGGTTTGTTGAGTGAGTTCAGGTCAGAGGAAATCAGGAAAAGGAACATTTTGACCGGTTCTGTAGTGCTTCAATTTCTGGTGTTCTTTGATTCACTCCAAATAGCTGTGCCATTTGTTCTATTTAGATTTTAAAGCTGTGTTTCGTGGAAAAGAAAGTTTTTCATGTGTTCACTCCATCTTACCAGGAGTCAACCCATTTATCTTTATTTAGATCTCTGCTTTATTGACTTTTGCAGTGTTTTTGTTTTTGCTTCCTCTCAACACACTCGCTGGGCCTGAAATCAGAGTTTCTAATCGCTCAGTATCCTTTGGGGCAGATAATTCCTATGTAAAGGGAATCTTTATTACTGCCCTTTCACCAGAGAAGTAATTTCCTGCTTAATGTTAACTTGCTTACCACTCCATTTCAAACAAAATTTCATCTCCCTGTCATCTGATGGTTGGTTGATTACTGAAATTCTACAGTCAGTTCTACTAGAACATGACAGTTGTACCCGTAAGACTCATCATTCTATACAAAATCCTAAATAAAAATCTTGGAGTTAGGATGTGAGCATTTTGGCCACCATGTGGTTTAAATGAATTTTTTGATGCAATAAAGTTGAATATGTATTTAAAAAAATCACAAACAAAAAAAAAACCTTGGGAGTTTACAGGAAACTGGGGTTCTCTAGCACTCAAAAACTTTATTGGCTAAAAAAATTAAAAAGATCAAAATGACAGCACAGTTTTACTCACATCAGTAGTTCAAGAGCACATACGTGAACTGGAGATGCAGGTCAGTGGTACAGTGCTTGTCATGCATGAGGACCTGGATACAATCCCCAGCACCAAAAAAAAAAAAAAAGGCATATGTATGATAATAAATTTGGCGCTTTATCTTGTGTGAAGCATAGCAGTCATAGGAAGGGTAGCAGCTTGTGAGTTATTGTGAAGTGGTAGAGGAAGGGTCATTTGAAATCTGACAGTTGTAAAACCGGATGTGCATGGATATGGCTCATAACACGATAAAGACACTGATAGATGTTAGGGCATGTCCTTGTGTGATTTGTGTATACCTATGCAGCATGTCTTAGCTGGCTGCATTTTTTATACCTACATTTCTTTCTTTCTTTCCTTCCTTCGTTCTTTCTTTCTTTCTTCATTCATTTATTCATTTATTTATTTATTTTTATGTGGTGCTAAGGATTGAACCTCACACATGAGAGGCAATCTCTCTACCACTAAATTACAACTTCAGACCTGGTTTTTGCATCCACACAAGCGCTTTTCCAGGATAAAACTGCACATCAACAAATAGGAAATTTGTGTTGTGCTAGTATTATTTCTTAATATACCAGTCATATTGAAACAAATTTTCATCTTTAGAGTGTGCCATAGAACTGACTGTACATAATTTTATTAATTTCTTTCTTACTCTCCTATATCTACTGAATTTTCAACTCTTGCTTTTTTCCTTCCAAGTTCTTATATTCAGAGTTTCACATATCTCACATTTTCCTTTTACTCTTAAAAATTATTTTTTATTTAATAGGTTTGTTTCATGAGCCTCCTAAATGGTCTACCTCTATCTAATACATATCACATATTGCTACCAGGCTTATTTTTCACACATACTCACACACACAAATAGATAAACACTATAGAAAGAATAAATACACATTTTTAAAAGTTAGATTGGTTCACCACCCTTAGTCATATATTGTGAATATTCTTTCTTGTCAGTACATGTACATATAGGTCTATAGCATCATTGTTTTATTGTAAAATACACATAATGACTTACTATTTTTAAATGTACAGGTCAGTGGTGTTAAGTATGTTCACACTGTTGTTCATCCATCACCACCATCCATCTACAGAACTTCTTCATCTTCCAAAACTGAATCTTTGTACCAGCATCATACTAAGAGCAGACTGGGTCAGCACATGCTCACAAGTTCAGATGTAAGAAAAGCACCTGGGCTGGGCTTAAACTCAGGTTTTGCTCCGCTGGGTCAAGCCTCCGGGTGCATGGTGAACAGTGGACACTAGAGGGCAGCCTCGCGCTCGCCTTTCCAGGGCTGCTTCCGGCTGCGCCGGCGCAGTAGGCTGCGTGCGCGAGGGCGAGAGGCGCTGCGTTCTGCTGGCGTGAGTCCCCGGAAAGTCGGGAAGGAGGTTCTGTTTTGTGCCGGGCCCGCACCTGGCTGGCCAGCGCCTCGGGCCCAGGCTCCGTGTGGACGGGGCCGGACTCATACAGCCTCGGGCCGCCCGCTCCGAGGTGTGCCTCACCTGCTGGGCTGTACCGGCCCGCATCGCCTCACACCCCGCTGCTGAAGGCCGGAGGACTCCGCCCGTGACAGGCAGACATCAGTCCTTCCATCTGGCGCTTGTTATGTACAGGTTCGTTGCTGCCAGAGCTGTGTGAAGTGAGACCATATGCTGCTTTTCTTTTCTTTTCCTTTTTTTTTTTTAAAGCAGAATTTAACCACTTTACTTAGTAATTTTGTGTTCTCCACCCATTGCCTTTACAATGGAACCCAAACGCTAAGTAAGCATCCAGAATATTTAAAATAGTTAATGTGCTTTGTGTTTTACTGGAAAATTGGGTTCTGCTCTACATTGTATTGGTTGACACTAATCTGTCACTTCTAGAATTGTATAAAATGTTCTGTAAATTGGTTAAAATTGAGCTGTGACTCTACAGCAGTGGATCCCATCTGTCACCTCCCCTAATTATCAAGATTTTATCAGTGACAGAAATCCTTTGTATTTAATTAAATAGTTCCTAAATATTTCCTACCCAACTGACTCCCACATTCCTTATTCCTTAATGTGCAAGGTATTTTTCAGGACTAGTAAATCTTAGTGTTTTGTTTGTTTGTTTGTTTTATTTCTAGGACAAAATTCTTATGCCACACTACCTCATTCTAAGCTCTAGGCAGCCTGCTCTAGAAATATACTTCTAAAATTAAAAAGCCAATCAGATATTGAGATGGGCTAAAACCTTCTCTAATAAACTGTCAGTCTCAGTGTCACACACACCCCCATCCCAGTGATCATAGTGGGTTCAATTCAGTTCAGCCCCTGAAGGTTGCAGGGTTTAAAGGAAGAATGTGGGTTTGAGGCCAAAACTTGTATAGTTTAGTGACCTTGGAGAAGTCACTTCACCTTTGAATCAGTTCTTTATCTGTAAGTTAGAAATAACAACACGAATTATATCTATATCACAGAATTGGTTGAAGTTGACACTGTGTAAAAGTCATTTGAATTTTTGGATGAGTGTTTTTGAGGAAGAATTCAGAGTGTGAGGCCTTAGGGATAATTAAAAGGCTATCGATGCATATAAAATACAGAAGCAACGAGAAATGCATTAACAGTGTGCTGAGTAATGTCGAAGGTACAATAGTGATCAGAGATGGAGGGTTATAGAATTTTGTATCTGATGTTGGTAGTTTTTGAGTGTGTCAGCTTTCCATTGCTGTAACAAATACCTGAGTTAAATCAATACAAGAAGAGTACAGATTTAGTTTGGCTCACCATTTTGGAAATTTCAGTCTATCGGGGGTTGGCCCTATTGCTTTGGGCCTGTGGTAAGGCAGTACATCATGGTGGGAGCAAGTGGTGGAAGAAAGTGCTTTATCTCAATGGCATCCAGGAAGCAAAAAGACACAGGAAAGGACCCAGGGCCAAAATGCCCTCCAAGGTTATTTCCCCAAATGACTTAACTTCCTTTCATTAGGCTCTGCCTCTTCAACGTTCGTTGTACCACTTGCAATAGTGCCACAGGCTGGTGACCAACTTGGTCTTTGGGGAAAGGGTATCCAAACCATGGACGAGTGAAAATGAAGAAAGTGTAGAGAGCAAGATACCAGGTGCTAGAGAATGATAAGCAGATGTGAATTTATAGTCTAGATTCTTCATTTGTACAAATCCCTGGCCAGGAGGTCCAGCAGTTTTAAACTCATAATTGTGATTTTTTTTTTTATTCTTGTTTTTTATTTTGGGGAAGTACTGAAATCAAACCCAGGGCTTTGTGCATGCTAGGCAAGTGCTTTACCAATGAGCTGCATCTGTAACCCTTTCTTTTTAAATTTTATTTTGAGACAGGATCTTGCTAAGTTGCCCAAGGTGGTCTTGAACTTGGAATCTTTCTGCCTCAACCTCCTGAGTAGCTAGAATTACAGATGTGTGCCACTGGCTTACAAGTTCTTTTCTTATCCTTTCCTTCCCAAAATCATATAAGCTTCAAGCCCCATAAAACCTGAAGCCATCCTTAGTGACAAGGTAGGATCAGTGGAAGGTTACAGATAAAGGAGAACTTGAAGGTTGAAAGAATTAAAAAAAATGGAAAGAGGTGGTGGGTAAGAGACATTAGAAGGCAGATACCGTAAAGAGACGAAGAACAGAGTTAATGAGCATGAAAACAGGTGGGAGAAAACAGTGAATTCACGAAGATGGTGAAGTCAACTGTGATTAGCAGTCATGCTTTCTTATCTAGTGTCTGCTGTGTGCCAGGTGCTGAGGACATGTGGGGAACAGAGCAGGCAGGCAGACCTCTGTAGAACAGTCTAACAGGAACAGATGAGCCAAACCTGGAGCTGCAGCCCCAAAGGGTGCTTTTGAGCCTGAAGAAAGTTTGAGCTGGAGTGTAGGGCAGGGAAGGGTCTGGAGAGGTGGATAGGGGTTAGAAGGCTGGTGAAGAAACTCAGTTCTAACTACTGAGCTACATCCCCAACCTCTCAGGGAACCTTCTGAAAGTTTGAACTTTTTCCTGAGTGTAAGTAGGAGCTGTTGAATGTTTTTAATCCAGAAGAAATTAAATCTGTGATTTGGAAGAATCATTATATCTGTCAGAAAGCAACTCTTGCACATATATCTAAGGAGATGTGTTCAAAACTTGTTTCACTAAAACTGCCAGGGCAGGTAGGGACCAGGACTCTGTCTTTAATGATCATTGTGTGACCATCCCCATAGCTCTCGGGAGTTGTTCAAGAGTATAAAAACTCAGCAATGTCGATGTCTATGATATTTAGTATTTCCCAGTATTTAATGTATGTATAGCTTTTGAAAAATAAAAAACTTATAGTGTGGTCAAATGATTAAAAATAGTGAACTAGAAGGGACTAGAGTTATAATTCAGTAGTAGAGTGCTTGCCTCACAGATGTGAGGCCCTGGGTTTGATCCTCAGCGCCACATAAAAATAAATAAAGTAAATATATTTAAAAAATAGTATCCAAAGTACATGTATGAAGACAAAAAAAATAAAGTTCTTATTATTATTTTAAAAAAATAGTGAACTGGCAAGATTCAGTGGCTCACGCCTGTAATCCCAGCAGCTTGTGGGGCGGGAAGCGGGAGGATTACAAGTTCAAAGCCAGCCTCAGCAATTTCGCAAGGCCCTAAGCAACTTTGAGACCCTAGCTCAAAAAGGTCTGGGGATGTAAGTTGGTGGTAAAATGCCCCTGGGTTCAATCCCCAGTACCAAAAAAAGGTGAACTGGCATTTCATGTACATAAATAAATCTCAGAACCATTGTTGAGTTTCAAAAACATCATTAGTTGCAAATGGATAATACAAGTACACAACCACTGTATAAAGCTTGAAAATGTGTTATTACTTATGGGTTCATACTTGTGAAAATAGAAAGCATGTGAGAGGATTGCATACACCAGTGGTTCTGAAACGTTAGCATGCGTCCAGATCACCTAGAGGAACTTACTGAAACAGAATTTGTTTCTGTGGTAAATACCTAAGAATTTGCATTTCTCTCAAGTTCCCAGTGAGGTGCTACTACAGACAGGTCCAGGGCGCACAGTTTGAGAATTGCTGATACATACCAATGTGAGGATAGTGACAGCTGCTTGGGATGGAGTGACTCAAACTGGACAGGTTTCAGAGTGGTTTTAAATGTATATACACTATTTTATTTCTTTCACAAAGTTTGGGCTCAGTTGTAGAATGTGTGCTTAAGCCTCTGAGGGCCCTGGGTTTGTTTCCCAGTATCAAAAACAAAACAAAATATTGGAAACAAATATACTTTGTAAATTGGCAAAGCCAAATAGATATGCACAGTTTTACTTTTTATTTTTCTCTTGGAACATTTTATTAAAGGAAAAGATCCTATCTGCTGTGTGGAGAATGGATTGGAAAAGAGAAAGAAGGGGGAGACCATGCAGGAAACTCTTGCAGAAGTTCAGGTAAGAGATATTGATGACTTAATACCAGGGCAGAGGTGGCAAGGAAGGGCAAATATGAACAGATTTGAAGAGGTTTGGGTGATAGAATTGGCTATGTGTGCTGATTGGTTGGTTTCAAGTCACCCTGGTTCATGACTTAGTGAGTGGGTAGGTTGTGTGTCCAGAGTAGAAACCCTAGAGAAGGGGCATGGTGAGGACAGGAAAGAGTCTCTGGAGTCAGCTGTTGTCATCCCAGACCTTGAAGAACCTATTAAGTGAAGTGTTTAGGAGAAAAATCAGGGATGCAATATAGACTTAGAAATCATAAATATTTAGAGAGCCACTGAAGCCACAGATGTGGATGAGATGACCTTGGCCAAAGGAATATCACCTGATGCTGCAATTGGCCAGCTCTGGCCCACTGCCTGTTTTTATATAGCCTAATAGCTAAGAATGCTTTTATTTTTTTAAGTATTGTGGGGGTGGTTGGGATCTAATAAGGAATAATATTTCATGATACATGAAAAATATATGAAATTTAGATTCCAGTGTCCATAAATGAATCTTACTGGAACAGAGCCACACACATTTGTTATATTGTTTGGAGCTGTTTTCACACTCTGGTGACAGAGTTGAATAATTGTGACAGAGACAATATAGGACCAGATGTTACCTTGCACCACCTCTCAGTTTACTGCAAATCACAGTGATAGGTTTATTGCTAGACTTTGACTTATAGCTGCTAAGCCTAAATATTTACCATTTGTTACTTTATAAAAAGAAGTTTGCTGCTCCCTGACCTGAGGTCTAAGTTGAGAAACACTTGGTCACTTTAATTATTGTAAAAGAGACTGCAACCATTTTATCTATTTCTTTATGTGTACCTTCCAAGAATCAGCTGTAGAGACTAAGACATTAGTAGTAAAAGTTATAATTTCAATTGAAGATCCTGAAGGTGATATGAGGGATGGACCAGAGAGAAAGATGTGGGCCTGGAAGCTTTATGAGAAAGGTAAGCAAATGATCATCCTGACCATGGACAGGCACACTTGGGAAGGCTGAGGTAGTGGGGTGAGCAAGCAGCTGGCATTATGTCCAGGAGAGGGAAGGTATAGAGTGAAACAGAAGTGGTTCCATAGTCAGGGTTTCCTGGGCGTCTTTAATGACAGCAAGGCTAAACAAGCAGCATTTTCCTTTGCCAATTAAGAAAATATATATGTATTTATGGGCTAGGGTTGTAGCTCAGTGGTAGAGCGCTTACCTTGCATGCGTGAAGTACTGAGTTTGATCTTCAGCACCACATAAGAATAAATAAAATAAAGATATTGTATCCATCTGCAACTAAAAAATAATTAAAAATTATATATATATGTGTATATATATATATACACATATATATATATTCAAATTATAGAAGAATAAATTATTTAAAAATTCCCAGGTTAGAAAAAGCAGTACTTATATGCTGGTCCCTCCTACAGCGTCACTGGCTAGGAAATAGAAGGATGGAGTAATCATTCACAGAGCTTGTGAACAGCACAGAAAGAATAGATTAGGGAAAAAGATCAGAAGTACAGTTTGTTATTTTATCTTTTTCAATTGAAACATAATTTAGATACTATAAAAGTTGTCATTTAAAAGTGTACAATTCCTTGATTTTTTTAAGCACATATTTATAAGATTGTGCACCTATCACCACTAAATCCAGAATTTTTTATCTAAAATGAAATCCCATGTTAATTAGTAGCCATTCCTCATCTCCTTGCCCCCCAAACTCTGTGCAATCACGTTTCTGTTTTCTGTCTACATGGAATTGCCTATTCTGGACATCTCATATAAATGAAATCATACAACATGTGGCTTTTTGTGTCTGGCCTCTTTCATTGACCATAATGTCTTTAAGGTTCATCCCTGTTCTAGCAGTAATAGTGCTTTATTCCTTTTTATGGCTGGATAATAATCCATTTATGAATGTGATACATTTTGTTTATCCGTTTATTAACTAATTGGAGTCATTTCTATTCTTTGTCTGTTATAAGTAATGCTACTTGGGCTGGGGTTGTGGCTCAGTGGTAGAATGCTCGCTTCGCATGTGTGAGACCATGGGTTCGATCCTCAGCACCACATAAAACTAAATAACTGAAATAAAGATATTTAAAATAAATAAATGATGCTACTATAAACATTTGTGTACAAATATAAACATTTGATGTATGTTTTCAATTCATATAAGTATATTCTGAGCAATGGAATTATTGGGTGATATGGTAAATATGTTTGAAATAGAAATGCTGTATTGTGCTAGGCATAGTAGCATAGCTGGGAATGCTGAGGCAGGAGGATTGCAAGCTCAAAGCCAGCCTCAGCAACTTAGCAATGCTCTAAGTAACTTAGTGAGACCCTGTCTCAAATAAAAAATAAAAAGGGGCTAGGGATATGGCTTAGTGGTTAAGCATCGTTGGGTTCAAGTCCCAGTACCAAAAAAGAAAAAGAAAAAAAGAAATACTATATTATGCTATATTATTTGCCACAGTGGCTATATTTTACATTCCCACCAGCAATATATGAGGACTACAGTTTTTCTTTAACCTCACAAACATTTCTTATTGCTCGATTTATTTTTATTGTAACCATCCTAGATGTATTTCATAATTCTTTTTTTTTGCATTTGCCTTCAAGACAAGTGGAATTGAGCATTTTTCATATGCCTGTTGGAAGGTAGATTTTACTTCCTTAAGGACAAGGTACGAAAGAGCTGTCTTCTGGCTGGCTCCTCTCAGGCCTCTGGGCTTGATGTGAATGTTATATCTTCAGAAAGGTCTTCTTGGATTCTTCAACCATTTATTTTCTATCCTTGAATCCTCATCACAGGATAATGATGAATTTTATTTACCTATTTATTATCTGTCTTTCCTGCCTGATTTTTCATTAAGCTCTAAGAGGATAGGAACCATGTCTGTTTAATTCCCTCGTGTATTTCAAGTGCTCAGTGCAGAGATGGGCCAGTGGACATTACTTAATATGGTGGAAAAAGCAGATTGGAACCAAATAGAGACTGGTGAGGAAATGTGGGGGTCTGCACCCACATAGGCTGACAGGGTTTTGGTGATGCTGGCCAGGTTGTCCAAGGCTTTCCCTGTAGCTCCTGGAGCTTGAAAGTCCAAGAGACATGTGGTCACTAGGAGGGCCTCTAGGAAAGAAGAATGAATCATTTGGACTGCTGTGACTTATCTGTGTACAGAGTTGCAATTTTTCTTTAACAAACCTCCTTTTTTGGTCCTTCATGGAAGAGGACTTTCAAACCAGTCCCTGAGACCAACCAGAACACTGTTTGACACAGACAACTGGATGGAGACCTAGCTGGGAGAAGGAAGATGCTCCTGGAAGGTAAAGTTTCATGTCATAGTTGTATCTGGCACAAGTAGCACACAAGGCAATTGTATCACTAGTATCTCTGGGCATCCCAGTGCCTATATTCAGCTGACACATAGTAACATGGCTTTATCTGTTATACTGATGGTCCTCTACTCTGCTTCATACATAGCCTTTGCCCCCAGCATCCTGAGTGAGAAGCACTCTGCTCATTGTCTTTCCCTAGGCCTGTTCCCCATCTGGACCCCTCCAACACAGACCCTATAGTGGCTCCATTGCTGGAGTCCATCCCTTCTCAGGGTTACTTATTGCCACTGTCACCTGAGTTCTTTTTCTAATCTTACCACCCTTATTCTAGCTCATAAATTTTTTGGTTCTTATCTCAGATCATTTCCAGGTCCTCCTAACTGGTCTCCAAGCCTCCAAGTACCTTCCAAGGAACATCCCAGACTCACCTTTCATATCAGCTCTTTGGGAAAACAATTTGGCATGTTCAGAGTTTGGGGGTTGTGGCTGTGGCTCAGTGGTATAGTGCTCACCTGGCACACATGTGGCACTGGGTTCGATCCTCAGCACCATATAAAAATTAAAAAATAAAGATATTGTGTTCATCTACAATTAAAAATATATATAAAATGTTCAGAGTTTGGGCAGGGGGTGTAGCACAGTGGTAGAGTACTCACATAGTATACCCAAGACACTGGGTTCAATCTATAGAAACACAAATGAAAAAATAAACCATGAACTTTTTTTCCCCCCGCCAGGGTTGAAACCTAAGCCTTGCACATGTTAGGTGAGTGCTCTGCCACTGAGTTACAGCTCCACCTTCTCAAGGGCTTTTGAGTACCTTCCAAGGAACATCCCAGTTTCTTAGCTGGGTTCAAGTGGGCCCGACCTACTAACGTACCCCTTTGTCCATCTTCTGCCCCAACACCACTGCTTTTATTTTACTAAATATTAATGAATATCTACTTAGTGCAAAGTGCTGTAAGACAGAGTCAAAGGCAGACATCTCCCATTCTGCATAACCTAGATGAATCCAAATTTTAATTTAATAAAGAGTAATGAGCCAGGCGGCACATGCCTATAATCCCATCAACTTGTGAGGCTGAGGCAGGAGGATTGCAAGTTCAAAACCAGCCTCAGCAACTTAGCAAGAGCCTGTCTCAAAATTTAAAAGGGTCGGGGGTAGGGTTGTGAATTAGAGGTTAAGTGCCCCTGAGTTCAATCCCTGTTGCCAAAAATTTTAGAAAAAGAATAATGATATGGGGGTGCGGGAAAAGCTGAAATTGAGTGGTTAATATAAGCCTAGTGTTCAGTTCCTCTCTTGCTCCTCATGTGACTCCAAAACTTATAGGACCTACGAGTGGGGAGGCATGAGAGGGTGTAGCTACCTTCAGGGCAGTGTCATCAAAACCTTCATGGAAATTATAGCTGAAAGTGTTATTGCTTCTTGTCTCTTGTTATATTGCAGGAACTGATACAGGATAACAACATGGAAAGGAAAGCCCAGGAGAGCAAGAAAGGACTGACCCACAGAGAAGTCCCTCGTGTTGTTGGGCTGCTGCTCGCCATGGCCCTTATGAATGTGGTCCTTTACCTCTGCTTCGACCGATTTTTCATATCCCCTCAACATTCCACCAAGGACCCTAGATCTTGTCCATATGGTTACTTCAAAATGGGGCAGATGAAAAACTGTTCACCCTGGCTGTCCTGTGAGGAGCTGAGGACAGAAGTGAGACAGTTGAAGCGTGTTGGGGAAGGAGCCGTGAAGAGAGTGAGTACATGGTTTTCTTCTGCATTATCACTTGTGTCAGCTCTTTGGGAGAACAATTTGGCTTTCTGGGCTAAGACCCATAAAAGGAAGTGGATGTAGTGGCACCTGCCTCTAGTCCTAGCACTTGGGAGGTTGAGTCAGAAGGATCACTTAAGGTCAGGAGTTCGAGGCTAGTCTGGGCCACATAGGAGATCCTGTCTTAAAGATCCATAAAGGCTCTTTATATCTGTCTTTGAGCCCAGTAATCTCATATCTGGGATTTTAATTTTAAAAGAAGAAAAGAATCTGAAGGAAGGAAAAAAGCTAAATGCATAAAGGAGTACTATAGTAATGGAAAACTAGGACCAACAATTTTAGGAGAACAATTAGTTAAATTATGGTTCAACCACTTGATGGAATATTCTATAGCTATTTAAATGTAGTTAGGATTACTCATGTAGCAACAGGAAGAAAATCTTAAGAAATTAGAATAAATTTTTAAAAAATCATTTCAGTAATGAAAAAAGAAAAAGAAAATAAGTTAAAAAAAGGAAGATTTAGAATTGTGTAGTATGTTATTTTCAACTGCAAAATTAAATATTTTTGTGGAAAAATGCAAAAGTGGCAGAAATTGTATAAGACAAAGTGGGAATTATGAGCAGTTTTTTCTTGATTTTTAAACCATGATGGTATTTCTGATTTTTTTAAAGTTATAGTTAAGACACAATACCTTTATTTTGTTTATTTTTATGTGATGCTGAGGATCGAACCCAGGGCCTCGCACGTGCTACTCGAGCGCTCTACGGCTGAGCCACAACCCCAGCTCGGTATTATTGATTTTTAAAATTTTCTTTTATTTGAAAAGAGACATCAAGGAGTGAATTCAGTTTTCATATAGAAACTCCAAGATCTTTGTCCCGTTGATAACCAGTGTATGCTACACTCTATATGGTTGTCATTTCTGTGGAAGCTGAGTCTACCATTATGCAGTCAGTGGCTTTAGAAGACAATTAAAGATTGTTGAACGAAGAAAGGTTCTTTGTGAATTTGCAACAGGCAAAAGGCAGGGAGAGATCAGGAAATGCACCTACAAAGCTGCAGTTTGATAAATGGCTAATGAGGATGCCATGGTTTCCTCCTGAATATAGATGGAGGCATCTTAAAGGAAGGAGTTAGGGAGAAGGGGAAGGAATTTGTAGAAAGTACTTTATTCATTGTAGGTGCCATGGGTAGAGTGGTGAAAGAAACAAAGACACTGATTTCTTTTTTAGTTGGAAAGTCAGATACTAAGAAAAATAAGAAAGTTACATTATGATGTGTTAAGAAGACAAAAGAGGCAAAGAAATGATGTGCTTGTCATTCTAGGTCTTTAGGAGAGGACATTGGCCAGAGCAATGGGAGACCATGTTGAGAGTGTGGGCATCTGGGGAAGAGGCCCCATTCCTCTGTGCAGGGAACATTCCTGGTTGTTCAAGGAGCAGGAAGGAACCTAGTGTGACCAGAGAGCAGGAAGAGAAAAAGAGGTCCGTGAGGTCTGAGAAGGGTCAAATTGGGAGCCAGGTTGTGCCAGGCCTCACAGAACTTTGAGAACCACTGGAAAAATTTTAGTAGAGAAATTTATTTTGTAAAGGGATTATCTTAGCTGCTATGTGAAGAGTGGATGAAAGGTGGCAAAGGTGGAAGACTGGTTAGGCTTTTTTGCATGTGAGGGATGGTTATGGCTTAACAAGAGTGTTAGTAACAGAAATAGAAATCAGTGGATTCTGGACATATTTTCAAGGTATTAACAATAGGATTTTCTAATTGACTGGATGTGGGGTATGAGAGAATGAAGAGATTCTATGTGTCTGAGATGGACATGTTAATTCTGGTGTGAGACATCCAGGTGGGGGTGTGGGCAGTTAGATGTGCAAGCCCAGCATAATGGATGAGGTCTGAGAGAATATAAATTAGAGACTCAATATTATTTATATGCATTTGAAAGTATTAGAATGTGGAAAAAATCACCAAATAAGGGATATAGATAGAAAAGAGGACATAAAACCAGCTCATTTCTATCTTCTTCAAAGAGATGTCCTTGAAAGCTGGTACAGTGGTGTATGCTTGTAATCCCAGTTACCTGGGATGTTGAGACAGGGGCATCACAAGTTTGAGGCCAGCCCCTGCAGCTTAGGAAGATTCTGTCACAAAATGGATGTAGCTCAGTGGTAGAGTGCTAGCATGCATGAGGCCATGGGTTCATCCCCAGTACTGGAGGGAAAATGTACATACTAAGAGGTGACCTTGAATGTGTTGTGTCTGTGGTTGTAATTGTTCAGAGCATTTTTGGAATTTGTTGGAATTGCTTCTTTCCTCCCAGGGAATATGATTTTGATGATGGCAAGTTATTATCATTTGTAGATAGACAGATTTAATTTTAGGGAGCCGCAAATCATGTTCATCCAAATATGAAATTTAGTAGTATGGCTAATAAGCCTAAGCACTATCATTTTATTAAAGTGAAATGTGACTATCCAGGCATGATGGCACACCCCTGTAATCCCAGCTACTCAGGAGGCTGAGGCAGGAAGATTGTAACTTAAAAGCTAACTTTATTTTGACCTTATTTCAAAATAAAAGTAAAGTGTGAACAAAATGCCATTATATTCTTTTGTTGGGTTTTTCTTTAGCTGACACTTCCCTCCCTCAGGACAAAATATTTTGAACACTTGGGTATTAATAGTGTTGGTCAGGAGCCTTGTCTGCCTTCTCCCCTGTCAGAGCCTCAGGATCTGTGCAGTTTGGCACAGAGGAGAGTATCAGTATCCTGAATGTAGTCACTTATTGGAATAGCTGTGGGTAACTCAATTCCATTCCATCTCAATGCCCCACCTCCTCTCCACATGGAAGGAACAGGTTTTTCAGTAGGAATTTCTTTCTTTTTTTACAGTCTGCAGGTTGAATCCAGGGCCTCATGCATGCGAGGCAAGTGCTTTATGACTGAACTACATCTCAATCTCATCCCCTTCAGTGGGATTTCTAAAGTCAAAATTCTTGACATTTCATTCTGACCTCCACCTCCTCTTCTAACTCTCTTGATCCAGCAGTTCCTCAATTCCATGGAGAATTTCAGAGTATCCATCTCATGCTTTTTTACTTTATGACACCCCTCCTGTCTCTACCTCCTGATTCCCCTAGCAGAGATTCCACGAGTTTTTATTTTCATCATTCTTTTACAAAGAGTTGGAACAACTCCATTACATCTGTCTCTATCATGCCTGGCTGCTCTTGAAACCCAACTCTGCTCTTGGACTTGAGCAGCTATACTGGAGTAAGAGAGAAATCCCACAATCACATAATTTAAATGCACCATGACAAACTTCAGGTAAACACAGAGAACTATCCTTGGAAATTTCATTCCCAATCTCTGAGAAGTTTTTCCTCAAACATTCCCATCCTTTGTCTTATCCAATGATCTTGTTTTATGAGATATGAAACCAGAAACCATCCAAAGGGAATATCTTCATTCTACTTCCACCATATCTATAAACCAGCAGCTCAGCTCTCATTCCTAATTCCCAAGGTTCCACGTAATTTAAGTGATTCCCTGCATTGTCAGCCTTCCCACTCTGAACATCATTACTATTGGTATACAAACATACTCTCTTTAAAAAACAAAGTCCTGTTCCCTTGATTCCCCAGGCCTCTGTAGCTCCTGTCCTTTCTCTACTTCCATCACAGAAAGCTGCTCTAACTCTATTTCCACCTTCCTTGCTCTCACTCTTTCATCCTCTTCCAGTGTGTCTTCAAAACACCAGCACTCTAGGGAAACTTCTCTTATTGAGGGACCAGGTCGTGTCAGTTCTATTTTCAGAATATGTCCCAGTGTGCTCAACAGAATCTGTCCACAGACTCCCCTCTTGCCATCTAACAGTCTCCCTGCTTACGCTTTTGCCGACTACTATATACAGTTGTCTTCTAGACATATTGGATCATGCCATTTTTCTTCCTTAACACGCATTTGGTGGCTTCCTGTTGTCCCTTGGGGGAAAAAAATTAACCTTTTAATTATCCCTCTTGCTCCACCCTCCCTGCTGTGGATCCTTCCTCCCTCCCAGAACTCTTACCAGGATTCTCACTCCTTGTGTTGTAGTCTTTCCTTTGTTCCTTGTTTAAACCAAGCCCTTTCTTATGGGTCTTTCTCTGCCTGAAGCTCTGCCACTCCCCAGCCCAGTACTGGAGATAGGCATTGGACTCAGTGATGCTCTGCCAGTGAGTCACATCCCCACCCTTTTTACTTTGAGAGGGGTTTTTAATAAGCTGCCCAAGCTGGCCTCAAATTTGTGATCTTCCTGCCTTAGCCTCCTGAGTAGGTGGGATTAGAGATGTGTGCCACCACTCCCAGAGTTCTGTTACTTTTCTAACAGGAATTCCCTCCCTGATGTCCCTAAGTCCCACCCTTACCATATCTTCTCGTTCTCATTTATCTTGTTTTTTGTTTGTGTCTCTTATAAATGTGTAAGTCCCCTGAGAGCACAGAAGGTGGGTCCAGAGCATCTAGCCATACCTTATTGTATCTAGGACACATTTTGGGGGCCAGAGCACAAAAACTCTTTAATTGAATTCTCAGTACCTAAAATATTGATTTAATCTCAGATAGTTTCCTCAATATATACAAACTGTGCCACTCCCTTGTCTTCTCCAGACTTTTTTTTTTTTTTTTTTTTTTTCTTGTTTTTGGAATGGCCAGGGGCATTATATCCTCTACCTATAGCAATTTGTAGCTTTACCCATAAACTATAGTAACCTGTTTATGGTAGGCAGGTTGGCCTATTGCTTTTTCTTTATTCCTTTTTTTCTTAATTATAAAAGCAGTATATTCAAGTATTTAATAGGAGGCAAAGTAGAAAGTTAAAGTTTCCTTTTCCTTCCTCTTGCTCTCTCTGTCGTCAGTCTTATTTCCTAGGAATAACAGTTGGGGGTTCATCCATTTTGGGTTTTTAAACCTAAGATTACATTGAAAGACCCAAGCTGGGTGTGATGGTGCATGCTTATAATCTCAGCTACCTGGGAGCCTGAGGCAGGAGGATCACAAGTTTGAGGCTAGCCTGGGTAACTTAGACCCTGTCTCAAAATAAAAAATGAAAAGGACTGATGTAGCTCAGTGGTAGAACACCCCTGGGTTCAATACCTAGTGCCACAACAAACAAACAAACAAAAACAAGAAGGGTCTCTGCTTTCATGGCCCCTGTACTCCCTTCAGTCTGTTAAAACAATAGGCCAGATTATTAAATTATAAGTCAAATATGGGTTGTTTTTTTCCCCCTTAAAATCCTCCAGTGAATTACTTTCTCACTCTGAAAAAGTAAGAGTACACAGTCCCCTCCTTTTTTTTTTTTTTTGGTTTGCTACTGGGGATTTTAAACAGAGGGGTATTTTACCACTGTGCCATATCCCCATCCCTTTTCATTTTTTTTATTTTGAGACGGGGTTTTGCTAAGTTGCTGAGGCTGGCCTTGTACTTGGCAGTCCTCCTGCCTCAGCCTCCCAAATTGCTGGGATCACAGGTGTGTGCCACCCCATCTGGCAAAGTTCTTTCAGTAAAGCCTTACAATATCTGCTCCCTTTCACTAAACTTTTACCTACTCCTTTATGCCTTGCCCTTCCCACTCTAGCAGCCCAGCCTTTCTGCGCTGAGAGTCTGTGGCTGTACTTCCCTACAGGACATCTGGCCCTGATGTTTTCTGCCTAGGATGAAGTTTTTCCCTATATCAAAATGGCCCATTCCCTTATCTCTTTCAATTTGTTGCTCAGACACCCCAACAAGATCTTCCCGAGCCCTATTTTAAAATTGCAAACACTTCCCTGTTTTATTCTAAAACACATTTCACCTGATAATATACTTTATATGTTTCCTATTTATTTTATTGCCTACCTCCTGTAGTAGAATGTAAATTTTATCATTGCAGTTATGTCAGTGTTTTTCCAGCAGTGCTGGGGTCTGAACCCAGGGCCCCCACATGCTAGGCATGCTAGGTTCTACCACTGAGCTAGATAGAACCCCAGTTTTTTTTTCTTTGACATAAATTCTCCCTCCCCCCCCTTCCCATTTCCTTCCTGGGGATTGAACTCAGAGGTGCTCTTTACCACTAGCTACATCTCCAGACCTTTCTGGTTTTATTTTTAAACTTAAAGACGGAGTCTCACTAAGTTGCTAAGGGTATCACAAGTTGCTGAGACTGGCTTTGAACTTGTGATCCTCCTGACTCAGCCTCCCAAGTCATTGGGATTATATGTGTGTGCCACCTCACCTGGTTGACATAAATTATTGTTAAATGAACGAAGACACATTTGACTACAGTTAAATTCTTTGCTTTATGAAAAGACTACATGAGCTATGTTCTATATCTTTTACATTTATATTAAAGGATCACATGGGTGATATAAGAAGTTCCTAGTAATAAATAAGGGACAGGCAAATAGCCCTATAGAGAAATTGGATGAAGGACAATGACCAGACTTTTTATAGTAAATATACAGAAATGCTGATACAGATGAAAAATGCTCCCAGGCACCATGGCACCTATCTGTAATCTCAGCAACTTGAGAGGCTGAGGCAGAATGATCACAAGTTGGAGGATAATTTAAACACCTGGAGGGTTTCCTGTGGATCATGAGAATGAAAGCAGATGTACATGAAAGTGTTTATAAACTTTAAGATGTTGCATCCATGTTAGTTATGTTAGGTGGATTCATGCTCAGAGTGGGTGTTTTTGGAACCTGTATCTGTCAACTCAGCAAGATCCCCTCTCAAACACAAAAACAAAAAGGGCAGAAGATGTAGCTTTGTGGTAGAGTGCCCCTGGGTTCAATCCCCAGTACTGAATAAAGAGAGAGAGAGAGAGAGAAAGAAAATATTTTTCTGTAGTTGATTTTTTTATACCAAGAAGACTATTTATGATTAGTTTTACAATTAAATAAAAGATGAACACATTGCTGTTGTCTCCAAATATAATTGTTTTAGAAAGTGATAAAAAATAACTAGAGATTGCTAGGAAATGATTCGTAAAATCCATGATTTGCAGATTTAATTTTTTTTTTATTTATTCTTTTTAGTTACATATAATTATAGAATGTATTTTGGCAAAAGATTTGCATATTTTTAACACTAGAGGTTTTAGATATTTGTGGGTCATCCCAAAGACTAATAATATTTATTAACAAATAACTTTAATTTATCTGAGGCACAAAAATGAATATGACATAATTGAGGATTCAGTAGGAAATCAGTTGGGGCCCCGTCTGCCTCTTCCATGATTTATTGTTGAACATAAGGTAGCAGCTTCCTTAAGGTGAAATTTGTTTTTGTATGAAAATGGGCCTTGAAAACCAAAACCAAGCCAGGCACAATGGCACATGCCTGTAATCCCTGTTACTTGGGAGAATGAGTAGCAGGAAACCAAATTCAGGATCAGCCTCGGTAACTTAGTGAGACCCTGTCTCAGGAAAAAAAAAAAAAAAAAAGGCAAGAGGATTTAGCTCAGTGTTAAAGTGTTTGCATAGTATGTGGGAGGCTCTGGGTTTCATCCCAGTACTACAAAACAAAAAAATAAAACAACCAAACAATAACAACAACAACAAAACCTACCAAAGCCATCTGTCAGCACTAGTCATGACCATGCACAATAGGTCCAAAGAAGTGATGGGTCTTAGCCAGGCAAGTGCAGGCCTGTAATCCCAGCAGCTCAGGAGGCTAAGGCAGGAGAATTATGAATTCAAAGCCAGACTCAGCGACCTAGTGAGGCCCTAAGTTAACTCAATGAGACCCTGTCTCTAAATAAAATATAAAAAAGGCTAGGGATGTGGCTCAGTGTTTAAGTGCCCCTGGGTTCAATCCCTGGTACCAAAAAGAAAAAAAAAAAGGAAAGAAAGAAAGAAAAAAAAGTGATGGATCTTGACAAAGTCTTATTTTTATTTTTTCATTAGAGTCAAAATATCAAATTCAGTGGTAATACAAATCTATGGAGTATGTTTATTTGGAAATTTTATAAATTCATCAAAGTTTTACTGAATGTAGCAGCCAGAGTAAAAATGACTTTTTCCCCCCAATAGAAAAGATCCATAATGAAATTTCTTGGTTATGGGGGTTTGAGGTCTTGAAAGATTTCTCTTTTGAAGGTGAAGGGTTAGTTTTTTTTTTTTTTTTCCCCCATTAAAAACCCTCTCTTCTTAAATCCAAAAGAAATATTTGAGATCCTTTAGTCCACTTCCATTTTATGTAGTGTTTCTGAGTCTTAATCTTTTGAATTACAGAAGTAATGTATGTTTGTTTTGAAAGAATTGGAAAATACCAAAAGATATAAAGTACAAAAAGCACCCTTTGTGCTACAGTAAGTTGGGACTGGCAGGCAGTTGGCTGCCCCAGGTCTTTACATAGGCAGCCTGTCCTCCTGGGCCTTGCTTTCCCCTTGTCCAACATCTGTGCTGCAAGTCCTGACCATCCTCTAAGACCAACTTCCAGGAACCTTCCAGAGTCTTCTCCAGCTGGCTCTCACATCCAGACCACAGTCAGTCCCTCCTGCTGAAATTTTATGCACTAATTTGTTGTTCACCTTCTTGCATGTTATGTTTGTTCATAGTGAGTCTTTACAACTAGACAAAGTGCAACTCTAGGACTGCAAAGACTGGGTTCTTGTCTCATTCGTTTGTCTTCTGTGCCACACCTGTTAAACAGAAAGTATTTTTCTTTCTTGCCTCACTTTAGGTGGAAGGGTTAGGTTTGATGTTCTTCTGGCTTTGTTTCAGGTCTTTCTGTCTGAGTGGAAGGAACGCAAAGTTGCGCTCTCACGGCTCACCAGTCTGGAAATGAGAGATGATTTCCTCTGTGGACTACAGATGCTGAAATCTCTACAAAGCAAACACATTGTCACACTGCTTGGCTACTGTGAGGAAGACAACACTATTCTTACTGAATATCACCCCTTAGGTTCCTTGAGCAACCTGGAAGAAACACTAAACCTTTCAAAGTACCAAAATGTGAATACATGGCAGCACAGGCTGCAGCTGGCCATGGATTATGTTGGTGTCATTAACTACCTGCACCACAGCCCCCTGGGCACGCTGGTCATGTGTGACTCTAATGACCTGCCCAAGACACTATCTCAGTATCTGCTAACAAGTAACTTCAGCATTGTGGCAAATGATTTAGATGCCTTACCCCTGGTGAACCACAGCTCTGGGACATTTGTGAAATGTGGCCACAGGGAGCTTCATGGGGATTTTATAGCTCCTGAGCAATTATGGCCTTATGGAGAGGACATACCTTTTCATGATGATCTCATGCCCTCATATGATGAGAAGATTGATATCTGGAAGATTCCAGATGTTTCCAGTTTCCTTTTGGGGCACGTTGAGGGTAGTGATATGGTTCGATTCCATTTGTTTGATATTCATAAGGCCTGTAAGAGCCAGAATCCTGCAGAAAGACCCACTGCTCAGGATATTCTGGATACTTATCAAAAGGTTTTGAATTTACTCAGAGATACTGTGATGTCTCAGACAAGAGAAATGTTATAAAAATCAGTGCAGCCATTGAAGGGTGGGGTTTGAGGACCGAATGGAAGTTATAGCAGTTCTACTCTGATGATGGTTTTTTGTGTAAGCCCTATGGTTTTTTTTGTTTGTTTGTTTGTTTGTTTTTTTATTCAGCTATGTGGCTTTTTTTCTATATCCACTTGGCCTTTTGGGGGGTGGGGGGGCGGTTTGGTCATTTTTTCTGTGGTACCTGGGAATGAACCCATGGCCTCACACATGGTAGGCAAGCACTCTACCACTGAGCTACATCCCCAGCTCTTTTTAGTTTTTGAGACAGGGTCTCAGTTAATTGCTGAGGCTGGCCTTGAACTTGAGATCCTCCTGCCTCCGCCTCTGGAGTAGCTGGAATTAGAGGTGTGCACATCAGTGCCTGGCTTCATCTGCACATTTGAGTGTGTTCTACCTCTCCTGCCAACTGGATGGAGGTTTTAATTAAGAGCAAACTGGGTCTGATTTAAAGCTGGCTTCATCTTTCTGAGGCCATTTGCTTCCTGGCTGAGATGCAGAAAAATAGTGATCTACTCATATTTGAAGGAAGTAATAAAAGTGTAGCTATAAAGAGGTTCTGTTGCCCCTAATAACTGAATTTATGAGCTTATGAGAAATATATAGGCAGATGATTTTTAACTGGCAGTATATGCAAAAGACAGTGATTCTTCAAATAATGGTTTCTCTATATAGTTTAAAAAATGGTATTGAAGAAAAAATGTTTATAGCGGCACAATTCACAATATCTAAATTATGGAATCAACCCAGATGCCCATCAATAGATGAATGGATTAAGAAATTATGGTATATATGTATATACAATGGAGTTCTACTCAGCCATTAAAAAAATGTAATTATGGCATTTGCCAGTAAATGGATGGAAATGGAGAATATCATGCTAAGTTAACTAGCCAAACTCAGAAACTTAAGGTCAAATGTTTTCTTTCATTTATGGAATCTAGAGTAAAATAAAGGAAAGGGGAGGGAAGGATAAGAGTACATAAAGAACCAGTCAAATACAAATTAATAGATGAGTGAAAGGAAGTCCAGTAGAAGGAGAAGGGAAGAGGGTAGGGAAAAGGGGAAGAGAAAAGGAAGGATCATGAACTGAAATCAATTTCCATGATGTATGAGTTTGTCAGGTCTTTATAGTTATACTATGTATAGCCATAAAGCTCTAACTTTAAAAAAAAAAAAAAAAAGAAAAGAATTTAAAAATGGCATTGAGGGTTAGGGGGTATAGCTCAGTGGCGGAGCACATGCCTAGCATTTGTGAAGTCCTGGGGTTGATCCCCAGCACCAAAAAAAAAAAAAAAAAAAAAAAAAGATTTAACATATGGGGTATCCAGAGTGTTTGTGGTCTGTTCACATGGCATTAATGTGAATCATTTAAATCACTGATTTAAATGATTTCTCTATGAAGCTTCTTGTGTTACCCCTTTCCAATGAGATTTTGTTTGTTTGTGTTTTCGTACCAGGGATTGAATACAGCTTAACCACTGACCACATCTCCAACCTTTTTTTTTTTTTTTAATATTTTATTTTGAGACAGGGTCTTGCTAAGTTACTTAGGGCCTCACCAAGTAGCTGAGGCTGATTTTGAACTCAAGATCCTCCTGCCTCAGCCTCCTGAGCCCCTGGAATTACAGTTGTGTGCCACTGCACCTGGCTCCAATGAGTTTTTTAAAAAAGAACTGTTACAGCATACTCTTTGTAATTTGGAATGGATAAAAATATTTAGAAAAGAAAATTGAGGCAAACAATAGCTATGTTACTGGGCTTTAGAAGGTGCTTTGAAGTTCCTATTTATTGGGTTTTCCACGTCCAAAATTTGTGGTGAGCATTTTACATCAGCAAGTGTTCCTCATTACCGCACAGTATCAAGCCATCCCACTTGGGTTGCATGGCTGAATCCTTCAAAAAGTTCTTTCCTATGACACTGTCAGCCTCATTTGCAGGGGTTGAGGATTTGGTGTGTATTAATGATCACTAACAAGATGGCTAAAGCTGGTGTTCAGAATCGTAGATGTTCTGCATTGGACTCTGCCTTTGCCTGACTCAAGCAGGCATCAGAATCACTGGAAGGCACAAGCTGGGTCCCCATAGCTTCTGACTCATTGGGTTTGAGCATTCATAACTGGTTCCCAGTAAAGCACATGGTGCTGGTCTGGGGACTACATTTTGAGAAGCCCTACCCTGAGCTGTCAGGGAGGCACCACAGAGTAGGATAGCAGTATTATCAACATTGTTCCCTATTGCTGGTGGAGTGGCCTGTGCTTGGTGAGAGAATATGCTTGCCCACATTCTCTGATGTCACTCTGAAGCTCAGTGGGCACTCCCTTCACCCTGGATTTATTTTGTTACAATAACTCCACTGTTGGGATAATATCAAGTATTGGTGAGGATATGAAGAAACTAGAGTCCTCATAATGTTGCTCATGGGACAAGAGCATGGTACAGGATCTTGGGCAAATAGTCTAGTAGTTCCACAAAAAGTTTAAAATAAAGTTACCACATGACCCAGCAATTCTCTTAAGTGTATACCCAAGAGATATATACATCCACACAAAAGGCACATGTCAACATTGTCCATACATATTCATAGTGCAATTATTCACACTAGATAAAAGGTAATAAAAACCCAAATGTCCATTAGTCAATGAATAAACAAAATATAGTATATCCATACAATGGATTATTATTCAGCCTTAATGAAGTTCTGGGCATGGTGGCACATTCCTATACTTCTAGCTACTTGGGACTGAGGCAGGAGAATTGCAAATGTAAGGTCAGCTTGGTAAATTAGTGAAACATTGTCTCAAAATTTTAAAATCTAAGAAAGGTCTGGTGATATAACTGAGTGGTACAGTGCCCCTGGGTTCAATCCCCAGTACTACAAAACAAAAACAAAAGGAATGAAGTTCTAATGCATGCTATAATATGGATGGACCTTGAAAACATACTAAGTGAAGGAAGTTACTCACAAAAGACTGCCTGTCATGATTCTATTTATATGAAATGTCCAAAATAGGAAAATCCATAGAAACAGTATTTGCTAGAGGGTAGTAGGGAGTTGGGGTGGAAGAATGACTTATACCAGGTACAGAGTTTTTTGGTAGTGATGAAAATGCTCTGAAATTACATAGTAGTGATGTTTGTACAACTCTGAATATATGAAGTACCACTGAATTGTTTTTTAAGAAAGGACAAATTTTATGGTATGTGAATTATGTCTCAATAAAACTTATTTTAAAAATATTCTCCACAATGCTGTGTATGTATACTTTCACTTGATGTAGGCTGTTAATATGTGGAATTAATTATTTGCTCTTACCCTATTCATGTTGTATTTTCATTTGAGGGCTTTTTTTTTAGCATTTTGGTGAAAAACTGTCAGTTTTAAACTAATTTGTTTTTAATAGGACAGTAAAGCTGAAATAAACATCATGGTTCAGGAGAAAAAACATTGTACCAGAATTAGAAGACCTAAGTTATCCCAGCTCTGATCTCCGACAACTCAGACACATCCGATCTCTGTCATGAAAATTTGGAAGTAATTTGTGCTTTTCTTTCCCAAGTTTCTCTGATGCTTTAAGATGCCACAGCCAGACAGGGCCATTGCCTGTCATGGATCAATCTTCAGTTTGGGTTTGGACACAATTAATTATCAACAGAACTGCAAAAATCAAAAGAGGAAGTCGTCATCTAAGTAAAACCTTGATGGGGAATTCGGTGTTATGTGGCTTGCTCAATGGAAGTTCAGTGGAAGTATCAGAAGAAATAGTTGAGGGGAGCCATTCTCAAAGCATAAACAAGTATCCAGTGCTCTCCCTGCTTACCTCATTCCAAGTGATTAAAAAAAAGATTGCTGGACATGGTGGTGCACACCTGTAATCCCAGCAGTTTGGGAGGCTGAGGCAGGAGGATTGTGAGTTCAAAGCCAGCCTCAGCAAAAGTGAGGTGCTAAGCAACTCGGGGAAACCCTGTCTCTAAATAAAATACAAAATAGGGCTGGAACTGTGGTTCAATGGTTGAGTGCCACTGAGATCAGTTCCTAGTACCTTAAAAAAAAAAATCATCACCACTATATGATTTGTTCTGTAATTACATTTTCTCACAGGAGGCTATAAATAATCATGATATCATTCAGCACAAGCAGAAACCTGGTAGTTCCCCAAATGAGGCACACATAGGTGGGGGTGCAAGCCTTATCTCATATAACTCTCCATAGAAAAGGTCTTTTATTGTGATTATATATATATATATATATATATATATATATATATATAATATATTAATTATTATTATTATTTGGAAAGGGCAATAAACTGAATTTTTTGTTTTGTTTTGTTTTTGGTACGGGGGCTGCAACCCAGGACCTCAAGCCTGAGGCCTCCACCTGAACCCAAATGGAAAGGACCTGCAGTGGAGTCAGAGCAGGCCCCACCCCAGGGGATACAGCCCTTTCCCTGTATTTTTAAAGTTAATTTTGCTTGTTTGGGGGAATCACTATTGTCATATGATTTAACCACATAAGTAAATTAAAATGTGGAATCATGCCTTTCTGTGTTTTTGTAATAATTCCCCCACTCCCCTTTTGGTGATGCTGGACATGAAACCCAGGGCCTCCCACATGTTAAGCACATGTTCTACCACTGAGTTACATCCCAAGTCCAACTTTGGTAATATTTTGTGAGGACAAATAGAATGAAGAAAAATAATTTAGATTTTTTTGGAGCTGTAGTTTACAATCAAAACTCTAATAAAGCAGTTAGCAAGAGTACTCCATCCAGGGGTTGGGGTTGTGACTCGGTGGTAGAGTTCTTGGCTCACATGTGTGAGGCACTGGGTTTGATTCTCAGAATCACATATTAATATATGAATAAGATAAAGGTCCATCAACAACTAAAAAAAAAAAAAAAAAAGGGTACTGTGTCCAGTTGGGCATGGTGGCATTTGCCTTTAAGCCCAGCAACTTGGGGAGGCTGAGATGAGGATCACAAGATTGAAGGCCAGTCTCAGCAACTTATCAAGACCCTGTCTCAAAAAATAAAAAGGGAGGCTGGGGTTGTAGCTCAGTGGTAGAGCTCCTGCCTAGTATGTGTGATGTGTGAGGCACAGTGTTCAACCCTCAGCACCACATTAAAAAACAAATAAATGAAAGTATTGTGTTCATCTACAACTAAAAAAATAAAATAAAAAAGAACTGGGAATGTAAGTCAAGAGTAAAGTGCCCCTCGGTTTAATCCCCAGTACCAAAAAACAAAAAACTTTATGCAAGTTTAAAGTTCTTAATGAAACAGGGGGACAGAAAGTTGAAGGTAAGTGCCAGCAACTTAATGAGACCCTGTCTCAAAATGAAAATAGAAAGGACTGGGGGTGTAGCTCAATAGTAGAGCTCCCATCAGTTCAATCCTCAGAACTGAGAAAAAAAAAAGTAAATAAAAATAAAATTCTTATTGATACCATAGGCACTGGTCAAGATTTTGTTACCTGGAATTAACTCCTTTGGAAAGAAAATTAGGTTTATTTACTTCTAATTCCATGTAATCAATTTATAGCATTTCACCTGAGTAAGGAATGATAGTTATTTTTACTTCTATTCCTTTGGGTTTATTATTAGGAAAAGCACCAATTTAAACATAGCACATGTGTATAGAGTAATAATATCTGTCTCATTCCACTGTCCTTCCCATCCTCATACCCCTCGTATGACTCTGCCCCATACTCAACCAGAGGAAGGAGGAGTTGTGTTCCATTTGTGTACAATATGTCAAAATGCATTCTTCTGTCATGTAGAACTAATTAGAACAAATTAAAAAATAAAATTAAAATTAAAAAGAAAGAAAATGACACTTGGGAACAAATAACAAATTGGTCTTCAGTGCTGCTGGAGCCCCCCAGTGAGACTAGCTGAAATGTGTAGATGATGGCATGGTAAATGAATTTCTTTGAGGTACTTCCAAAAAAAAAAAAAGGCACAATGTTTTCATGAGTTCTTTTTATTCTCCCCACCCCCCAATTCTTTCCCCCAAGATTCTGTTGTCTATTAAGATTTCTTTGTGATTCCATCTGCATTTTAGGTGGATTTTTCAATTTCTGCCCCCCCAAAAGTCATTTGGATTAAAAAAGATTTTTTTGTAGTTGTAGATAGATAGCATACCTTTATTTTCTTTATTTATTTTATGTGGTGCTAAGGATCAAATCCAATGCCTCACACATGCTAGGCAAGTGCTGTGCCACTGAATCACAACTCCAGCCCATCATTGGGATTTTGATAGATACCACATTAAATCTGTACATTGCTTTTGGTAATACTGACATTTTAATGCTATAAAGTCTTCCAGTCCACACACAGTGTTGTTTTTTTTTAATTTGTTTTGTTTTGTTGATGGACTTTATTTTACTTATTTTTATACAATGCTAAGGCTCGAACCCAGCATGCTAGGCAAGTGCTGTACCACTGAGCCACAACCCCAGCCCCACACAGTGGTTTTAATTTCCATTTTCCTGGTGACTTACAATGCTGAGCATCTTTTCATGTGCTTATTGGCTATTTGTGTATCTTCCTGGGAGAACTGTCTATTCAGATCAGATCTATACCAGTTTTTTTCTTCACCTAATTTCAAATAAAATTGTTTGCTGTTGAATTATAGGAGTTCTTTATATATTCTACATACTAGACTATGAGCTATATGTTTCACAAATATTTTTTTCAAATCTATGGGTTGTCTTCACTTTCTTGGCTATGTCTTTTGAAACAAAAAAGTTTTTTTTTAAAGATTTATTTTTTAATTTTAGACACAATACCTTTATTTATTTATTTATTATGGAGAATTTTTTAATTTATATATGACAGTAGAATGTATTACAATTCTTATTACATATATAGAGCACAATTTTTCATATCTCTGGTTGTATACATAGTATATTCACACCAATTCATGTCTTCATACCTATACTTTGGATAATAATGATCATCACATTCCACCATCATTGATAACCCCATGCCCCTTCTCTTCTCCTCCCACCCCTCTGCCCTATCTAGAGTTCATCTATTCTTCCCATGCTCCCTCTCCCTACCCCACTATGAATCAGCCTCCTTATATCAAAGAAAACATTTGGCATTTGTTTTTTTGGGATGGGCTAACTTCACTTAGCATTATCTTCTCTAACTCCATCCATTTACCTGCAAATGCCATGATTTTATTCTCTTTTACTCTTTATACTGCTTATATTAAAAATAAATATTTTATTTATTTTTATGTGGTGCTGAGGATTGAACTTAGGGCCTCGCATATGGACCACAGTCTGTTCATTCATTCACCTAATGATGGACATTAGGTTTCCAGTTTTGGATTATTATGAAAAAAAAACCCTGCTGTTAATGTTAAAATTGCACATCTGGGTATGGACATATTTTTCACTTGTCTTGGTCAATATATAGAACTGGTCAGATAGTTATATGTCAATGTTTAACTTATTAAAAAAAAACAAAACCATTTTCAAACTATTTTGCAAAGCAGTTGAATCATTTTACATTCCTTCCAGCAATGTTCCATTTGAGCCCAGTGAGGTAGTGTGTACCTGTAATCTCAGGCTCAGGAGGCTGAGGCAGGAGAATCACAAATCTGACTGAGCCTCAGCAATTTAGTGAGACTCCATCTCAAAATAAAAAACAAAAAGGGCTGGGGTATAGCTCAATGGTAGAGCACCCCAGGGTTCAATCTCTAGTACCAAAATAAATATAAAATAAAAGTCCATTTGAGCCAGGTGCAGTAGCAAGTACTGCAGTACTACTACTCTGGAGGCTGAGACAGGATTTTGAGATTGAGGCTAGCCTTGGCTACATAGTGAGACTCTATCTCAAAACAAAAGAAACAAGGGGCTGGGGCTGGGGCTTGGCTATAGCACACTTGCCTGGCATTTGTGAGACACTGGGTTCAATTCTCAGTACCATGTATAAATAAATTTAAAAAAATAAAGATCTGTCAACAACTAAAAATTTTTTTTAAAAACCCCAAAGAAACAAAAAATGAAGACTTTCATTCTATCTACATCTTTGCTAATATTTGTTAAATTATAGCTTTTCTAGTAGGTGTATAGTGATATCTCAGTGAAGTTTAAATTTGCCTTTGCCTAAAGACAAATTATACCTTTTCATGTGTTTATTGGCAATTTATATACCTTCTTTCATAAAGAGTCCAAATCTTTTGCCCATGAAGGAAAATAAAAGGTCATTTGCTCTCTTATAATTG